TCCTCCTCCTCCTCCTGCCCCTCCTCCTGCACCTCCTCCTCCTCTTCCCACTCCTCCTCCTCCTCCTCCTCCCCCTCATCCTCTTCCTCCTCCTCTTCCTCCTCCTCCTCCTCCTCTTGCCGCCCTGGTATCCCTTCGCGCCTCGCCAACTGTCTCGTTCGCCGCTGCGGCTTTTCACGCAGCGGCGCTCGCTGTCGATCACAGCAATTCTCAATCCTACTTGAGCGACGCGGCGGCGGCCGGAGACTCGACCAACAGGGAGATTAACATCCAATCGTTTGGGCCCATCCCAAGACGAGCGTACCAGCACAGTGGCGTTTTGCGGACTGGGCCTGCATTGAAACGCGCCTTGCATCAGGATAGTCGCTTCGAGTGCGGCCGAGGCCGTTCCTACTGTTTCCTACGGGTTCCTACGCCCCCGTAGGAATCAGTAGGAACGACGTGGGTGCCAACGTCCCCTGCCAGTTTGAATCGCGAAAAAGTCTACGCAGCACCGGCCTAAAATGCCGCGGGTTCGGTTGTTCGCCCCGCTGCCTGAGCTATCAACGGCTGGAGCTTTCAGCCCCTGCCCCTGAGTTTCTCGGACCTGGCCCCTTGGTTTTCAGCCCTGGCTTTATTCCGAGAGCCCCCCCCTTCCGCCCTCAGAAGCTGCGCCGAAGAGCACGCGGTCGCAAATGACCTAAGCGGCCTGGATGAATCCGTCATCGAGGCACTTGTTCCTCGCAAGGTCGTTCATCCAGCCGTGAGCCTGGCTAGCCGCAGAGCTGTAGCTCTCTCCCGTCCCGCCCCTCCGCCCCCCCCCCTCTCATCCTCTACTCCTCGCCCTTCCTCTCCATTGTGTTCCCCATCCATTCTATTCATCTCGTACTCCTCCTCCCCCCCATCCTCTCCGTGCTTATGCTCTTCATATTCCTCTCATCAATTTCCCCCCTCTCTCACCCTTCCTTTCTCCCGCCCTAGCTCTCCTCCTTCCCTCCCTTCCCTCAGTGTTTCTCTCGCTCTCTCTTCTTGGACCGTTCGCGCGCTCGAGACATTCCAACCGTTTGGGGCACCCTGGGCCAATGACGTTGGCACCTCTTGGGCCGACATATTTTACCTCCGCCAGCTTTCGCCAACCGCCCCCCAGCGTCCGCTGGCGGATCCACTCCAGTTTTACTTTCGAAGGCTTCCGCGGGAATCCCAACGAACACCGCCAGGCAAGCGATGTCAACGCCTCGATCCCCATGCCTTCGGGCAGCGCCCCCTCGGGAAGATGTCAACGATTTCTTTTTCGGAACTAGTGTCGGAACTACTTAATCGTTAGGTGGCGGGCGGGAGACACATGGTACATTCGGGCTCTCGTCGAGGCTCAGTTTCGACTGTTGGAAATTGCGTCACCATCACCGCTGCGAACGGGCATCTCTGGGAGCTCACGGCCGCAACCTGACGCAACGTTGGGTGATGAACTACTGCGTTGCCAACTCACAGCGGCCAGCGCCTCTCCGAACCCACAGACTATCTCGCTTTCTCTTCCGACGGCTGAATCTGTCGAGATACGCGGGCTGCATGCGCCCAAAGACGGAGTCTGCAAAGCGGCAGCCTAAGGCGGAACAGTGCAACAACATGGCCATAGCTTCCTTCTCTTCTTCCCCCTCCTCCTCCTCCTCCTCTTCCTCCTCCTCCTCATCATCATCATCAGTTCCCTGGCCGCAGCGTTCTAATCAGTGGAATCACATCTGGTGAAACTGATGGCCCGAACTCTACGACTCTGAATCGCTATCACCCAAATCACCCTGAATATCGAGGTACACGCCCTCCTCGGCTTCGAAGGGGCCCCCAAACATATACCTGTTCAGCGACAGGGTCCCGATTGCATTCAGGCTCTGGTGTATCCGAAAATAGAAGGTAAGTCAGTGGGCATTCTCAGCCATTATCCTCAGGACCAGGTTGAGGCTTTCGTCACGCCAGCAGCTGTAAGCAACAGGGTTGCCGAGTTCTGGGATCCTGGGCTCAGAAATCGAAAACGTAATTAGAAGGCGCGGAACCCGCTCGCCCCCCTTTCTGCTCCCCAGCTTGGCGCAGGGCCCACAGTGCCAGAGGGGGTGGGGCAGGGGGCCCCGGGACCCGAGGGATTGGCACTCGGGGCTGCGAACATTGGGAGCGGGGGGGGGAGATCGCGGATGAGAGGCGGGAGGGAGGAAGGGGGGCGCGAGGAAGGAGGGGGCGGAGAAGGGAGAAAGCAGAGGAGGAGATGAGGAGGAGGAGGAGGATTGGAAGTGGAAGGGGGAGGGGGGGGGGGATGAGGAGGAGGAGGATGAGGGGGAGGAGGAGGAGGAAGAGGCGGTGATGAATGAGTTTGCTTTCCCGTGCGCCCTGCGAGTGAGCTCGTAGAAGAAGTGGTGCTTTGGGGCCATGCCGATGTTCGCCCGCTTGCTCACGCTATTCACTTGGGCCATCAACCCAAACAGTCGCTCACAGTCGCGGGGCGTCGGAAGCATGGGGCATGATCTGATGATGTCCAAATATTGCACCAGTGACGCAGCTATGCACCGAAGCTCGGCAGCAAATGGTATGTCGTGCCCAAATCGACCCAACATGTCTGACACCCACACTAAAACCAATCCAGATTCGACACCTTTCAGTTTCAGCATGCATCCAGGGTGGGCGAGCTCGATCGTGTCCTGCGCGTCTCGCCTGTCGCCCACCATCTTGAGCGTCCAATCTCTTATTCTCTCATTGGCTGGAATGTTGTTTTTTTGTTCCCAAATCAACAAATCAAGCCGAAGTCTGGCAACCCCAGCCTCCATGCGTTGATCCAGCAACCTGCCCCTAACACCCCAAGGATTGTGCAATAGTACGCGCCACAATATTGCAGACGCCAGTCGCTGCACTGGCCCCATGTACACCGTGTGGAGGGTGTCAATGATCATGTTGTCGATCGTGATGCCGTTTGGCTCATCGAACAATGGGCATATGTGAGCAACTGGGCCCAGCAAGCGGTGGCCGTCCATGGTTGCCCTCCACGCGAGCGCTTGGTACGGAGGCGTCATCTGGAATATGCCATGAGGGTCTGGCATGGCATCGCAGGGCTCCAAGCGATCCCCATCCAAGATTGGCGGCGCTGTCTCTGGGACAGGCGCTTGGAACGTGAGACCCCAGAAACCTCTGCCATCCAGCGGTGTCAACTGTCCCTTGTCGAGTATCGCCTTGTGCTTCTCGGGAGTGTCAACGCGCAAGATTTTGGAGCAGCGGCTGCGCGCTTCAAAGTAGGTGTCGGGTGCCTTGGTGCCCCATGGGAGATCGTTGAGTGTGAAACCATCGTAGTGGTTGTGCGCGTTTCGCGAAGAACAGTTGCACCACGGGCACATGTTCTCCAGCGAGCTGACGCTGGGAAACCCGAGCGCGCGGGGCAGCTCGGCCAGGTCCCCCTTCAACCAGATGACCGCACACCGAAATCCCAACTCAACGCCCTTACGACGCCGAATCAGCGAAAGGTCGCTGTCGTCAGGCATCCTGTCACCGTTGGGGAGCACGTCGTAGCGTCTGCCGTCTGCTAATTGATTCAACGCCCACGAAAAAGCATTCAAACAAGGGTACGTAGAACACCAGCCTCTGCAACCGCATCTGCAAGTGTTACTGGTGCGCACGCTTCCAAAGTAGAAGCGTTTTTGGCTCACTAGATTGATGGCCCACATTCCACCGATGGACTCAGCACGACCTGCAATTTGAGATGTCACTCTCACACCATCAATAAACACAGCAAACGCCAGCGGCTTGGCCTGTCGCTTCTTTCGGGCGTCTCGTACAACTGGGTGGGAATCGTAGATGGGAGGCAACGTCATCGCCTGAGCCTTTGCCAGCAGATTCGGTGCATCATCTAATTCGGTGCATACATTCTCCCAGATCGCCGAGAATGGAATCGGCTCTAGCGACCTCGCCGAGCTTGCGCGCGTCACCATGGGAACATCTTCATAGAAAATTGGTCCTGGGCCAGGCATGAACCGATCCAATATTTTTTTGATAGCGGCCTGATTCCAGGCCTGGTCTACCCATGTATCTGGAGAAGTCTGCGCCGAGCATGCCACCCTCGTGCGCGTAGTAGCACGCCACGCACAGATCTCGGGCAGATATCTTCCCGAGTGCTTTGAGCGAAACCAGATGCTTCAACATATTAGAGCCTGCGACCCTCCATTTTGCTCGGTCTCCTTCGGTGGCCCTGGACATATCTGCAGTCGCAGACAGGTGCCGCAACGCTGGCGGATCTGAGCAGAATGGCTTTTCATACGGTGACGATCCGCACCCTGATGTTTAAAAAAGGTGGAGGTGGAGGACGGGGGACTGTGGAGGGGCGAGCAGGTTGCTCGGAGACCGCGGGAGGGAGGACTGCGGGAGGGGATCGTGGGAGGGGGGGCTGCGGGTTGGAGCTCAAGGTGGAGGAGGGGGGGGCTGAGGGAGGGGGGCTGCGGGAGGGGACGGGCGCTTTTGATTTCGTTTTCCCCAACACCTTTGCCGAATCTTTCTCCCTGGCCCCCTCCTTTCCCCCCCCTTCCACTCTCCCTTTCTCTCTTCCCCCCCCTCTGCCCACTCTTCCTCCACCTCCTCCACCTCCTCCAACATTTTGGGCCGATCCCGCGGCCTTCAAGGCTTCCTACGATTTCCTCCGGCGTCCTACGGTGATTCCTCCGGTGGCTGGGGGTAAAGTTCCTGCGGCTTCCTACTCTGCCATAACTGTAACAAAAACATGTAAAAGATGCTGGCTCCTACGATTTCCTCCGGCTTCCTACGGTGGTTGATTTCCTCCGGCTTCCTACGGTGGTGTTTCTGGCTTGTCTGAGGTTTTCCGTCGTGGATCCGTTGTTTTTCGCCGTTTGGCTGCTCCGCTACCTTGCGAGTCGGCTCGGAGACCTGAAACTCAGCATCAAGCCGCTCGAAGCCGCTTGTCGCCTACCCCGCTGGCAGCCCCGGCGCTGCGCAGCTCGAAGATTTATCTTCTCACGTGTTTGCTTCTAGAGATCAGCAGACCACCTCCCTCCCTCTACCACAGAACAACGCAGCCAGCCTGGCGTCAGACGAAGGCAGCTGCCCCCAGGAAGCCTCCGCATTCAAAAGACCTGCGGCGCCCCCAGGCGGGGGTCGGCGGCGCAGTCCATCAGCGCGTTGGCACGCTCCAGCTCGTCGAACGTCCCCACGCTCGGCTGCAGCCCCCGAAGGGTGTCCTCGGGCCATGGGGGGGTATGCGCATCTCGTCCCAATCCTCTCCGTCGTCCGCCTCCCCCTCCCCCCCCTCCTCCTCCTCCTCCTCCTTGCGCCCCTCTCCCTCGCCATCCCCACTCTTCCTTCCCCTCCTCCTCCTCGTCCCCCTCCTCCTCCTTCTCCCCCCCCTCCTCCTCCGCCCTGTCTTCCGCCTCCTCATCCCCCCTTCTCCTCCGCCCCCCCCCCTCCCCCCCCCCCCCTCCCCCCCCCCCCCCCTCTCCATCCCCCTCCGATCGCTGGGCCTCGAGGGCCCTTGGAGGAGGAGGAGGAGGAGGGGGCGAAGGAGGAGGAGAGGCAAAGGTGGAGGAGGAGGAGGCAAAAGAGGAGGTGGGCGGAAGGAGCAAGCAGGAGTATCGGAGGTGGGGGTCACGAGAAGGATGCGTTTAGATTTTCAACGCCCATGGCGATCGCTATCCTCGATCACTGGTCGTCGAGCGAGATCCTGCGCCTCTTGAGGCGCACGGCGTGCATCTCCTTCATGTTCTCGATGTGGTCCCCGAGATGCAGCATGTGGCCGTCGACGTCGTGGTTGAACTTCTCGAACGCCGTTTCGAGCTCGCCCTGCGAGGCCTCCTCCAACTTGCGCTTCTTGAACTTCGCGAAGTCCTGGGCCTCCATGAAGTCCGAGTTGAACGTCCCCGCGGTCGACGTCACCTTCGCGATGTTCTCTACGATCTTGTCGAACTCGGCGAAGTCGCCGTTGTCGACGAACGCCCAGCTCCACGCGGCGTCCTTCTGGCACTGCGCCTTGAACCTGTCACTCTGGTTCAACAGCAGCGCTAGGTTGCTCTTCATCTGCTTGGCCGTTGCCTCCGACGAGCCCTTCAGAGTCGCCAGGCCCTTGGCCTTCGAAGTGGCACCTCCCTTTCGCTTCGGCCTGGCCATCACCTTCGGAGTTGCCGCAGCCCTCTCCTTAGCCGCCGCTGCCGTCTCCTCCCTGATCCTCGCAGCCTTCTGCGCGACGGTCTCTGCGCCAGCCACTGCGGAGGACACGCCCGTCGGCGCGGGCAAGCGCGGTGGAGTATCCAAGGGGGCCTCGCCGTTTCCAATAGCTGCTGACTTTTTGTCGGCCGCCATTTTCTGGCGCTTCCAGGTCGTCTTCAGCGTCCAGCGCTGGAGCATTGCATCTCTGGCGCCGTCCGCGGTGCACAGCCAGCGGATCTTCTTCGTCATGGCGTGGACCTGGTAGAATTCTGGACCTGCTTGCAGACATGATAATGCGTTTTCCACCGCGGCAGCCAGCCCCTCTTCGACAAAGTGGCCGCCTTCGAGCCAGGCGATTCCCCCCAAAGGGAGAAAACTCCTCGCGAATGGCACAACCCCCTCACCACGCTCCCAACCCCCACAAACAAACACCTACGGCCTGGACCACCAATGTCTGGAAGCTTCTGACCTCCTCCACCTAAACTCCACCTGTCTCTCCGTCGTACTAGATTTCATTCGGTGCGAAGGGGTTGTGCCATTGTTGACCCTGCTGTCTTCTCGGTGAAGGTGATGTGATCCTTCTGCATGGTGTGCTGGCGCTCCTGAGTGAACTCGTCGTATAACTCCATCGCCCACTTGCGCCTGAACTCCCTCTTGGCCGCTGTGCCCTTGATCTTGTCGTAGCTGATGCGCAGGTCGCAGTCGCCCTTGCCTCCGCCGTGCTGGTTCTCATCCATCGCGCGCTGCCATCTCTGCGCGATGCGCGAAATTTTGGTGTCGGCCGGAACCGAGAAGCTGTTGCATTTGACGGTCTGCCAGAACTCCATCTCCGCCTTGATGTTGTCAGCCAGCTCCATCGTCGGCTTGGTCATCCACTCGTTGAAGTCACCCGTCTCGGCCCGCGCAGCGAAGTTGGCGAGCTTGAAGAGGACGTCGTTTGTCCTCTCGATGTCGTTCTTGTTGTCCTCGCAGATGTTCTTGGCGGCCTTGCTTCGCTCATTCTCCAGACCTTTCACGAAGTCAGTGACCGATTCGGCCCAGTCCTCTCGGCGATCACAAAAAAAGTGGAGGACGGCATAGGAGAAGGTCGGAGGAGGAATGGGAAGGAGATAGTAAGAAGGAGGAAGGAGAAAGGAGGAAGGGCACCAGTCCAGAGGTTCCCCGATCAACCGGCTGCAGGGTACACCAGAAGACCCGAGGATAAGGCTCCTGCGCTTTCCTTCGCTTTCCTACGCTTTCCTACGGGACCGTAGGATTCGGTAGGAAACCAGTTTTGATGACCCTACGGTTTCCTACTGAGTCCTACGGGCGCGTAGGATTCAGTAGGACTTGGTTCGCATCGAATGATATCCAATTGACGTCCCGTCTGTCCGCGCCCTCCAAGTCGAGAAGTGCCATCATGGCAGCGTCCATCGGCTTCAGCTGCCCCTCCTGTGAGGCTGGTTATCTGTCATGCACTCTCATCCTCCCTCTTACCTTTTCCTCCTCACTCATACCTCCCCTTCCACTCCTCCTCCTCGCTCTTACCTCTCCTCCACTCTCTGTCGCCTCCTCCTCGTCCTCCTCACTCCTATCCTCCTATCACGTATCGTGCCCCCTTTTGGTTTTCAAATCCGTCCTGCAGCGGCGGTCGCTCAGCAGCCTCTGGTGGCTCAGCAGCCTCTGGTGGCTCAGCAGGCTCAGCATCCTGTGGTGGCTGGAGCGGCACAGGCTCTCCCGCGGCGGCACCCTGTTGCTCGGGGTCCGAGCTATCTGGGGGGGCTGGTAGAGCTCCAGACGGCCTAGCAGACGGTCCAGCTGAATCTGACCTCTGATGCTTGAGAGACTCCTCCAAGCTCTGCAAGATCTGCTCGAGGGTGGAGATGTCCATGGCACGATCGTGGATATCCATGCCAAACGCTCTGATTTTCTGCAACACTTCCTCTCGATGCTGAAGGGCAACCTTTGAGGCGTCAAAGGACGCGCCCGTCTCAGCGAACGCCTGCGTCTGGGGAAGTGCGGACTCGGGGCGGCCACCAGCGGGAGACGGATCAGGCTCGGGACTGCCGCCAGCGGGGGGCGGAGCCTTCTCTGACGACGAATCACCGACGCTGATGACCAGCCGAGCCTGCTCGTCCGCAAGGCTGCCTGGCAGTGTCTCGGGCTCAGTATCGCCAGTCTGGCCATCGCTAACCTGCTCGCGACGTGGAGGATACATTGGCAATTTGCCGAGGAGCCTCGCGGCGAGTCGATGGCTCCCTCTGGAGCCTCACGGGGAAGAGCCCAAATGGCTGCCAGGACCGATGCATCACATCGTTGTCAGTATCTTCCTCAAGATCATGCGTGCGCCTTGACCTTGACCTCGTCCTCCTCCTCATCCCCCCCTGCGTCCTCCACATTCTCCTCCGCATTCTCCTCCTCGTTCTCCAAATCCAGCTTCTCCCTTCTCCGCTTCTCCTTGTGACCGTTCCTCCTCGTTGCCCTCCTAGTCGTTCACGTCGTCACCTACTCCCCTCTCCCCCTACCGCTCCTCCTGGCTAGTCGCCTTCCTCGTCATCCACTGCTCGCTCACGTGGGCGCTGTTCTGTGGTATCGAATGCGGCGCGCCCTCCATCCGCGTAGCTGCTCGAGATCTGGGCAGCTCGCACCTTCGAGGATGTCAGAGGCGAAGCGCCAGGGCCGCGCTCCTCCTCACTCCTCACTCCTTTATCATCCTCCCCATCCCCTCCTCTTCCCAGCTGGCTGGCGGCTGTCTTGCAGTTGAAGGCCAACTACTCGGGGTCCGACAACAGGGCGCCTGCCTTGGGGATGCCGTTCTCGTTCACGCCAGCATCGCACTGCAAGGTGCTCTTGTCGATCTTGAGCTTGCGCTCAGCCGCCCTGGCCCTTTTCTTCGGGCTCGGCGTAGAGAAAATGTCAACCTGTCTGTCGTCCGCGGCCGCAGCGGCCGCATCGCCAACACAATCAGTATCTGGAGCATGACCACCATCACCATCAACCTTGCCTGAAGGTCTCTTGTTGGCGGCCTTCGCCTTCCCCGTGGCCGTCATCTTCCCCCTGGCCGTCGCCTTCCCCCTCGGGGGAATCCTCTGCTTGGCGTCGGCTATCAAGCCAGCGGCGACCTCCCAATCGATCTTTCTCTCCTTCATATCCTCCTTGCTGAGCTCCCCCTTCACGTAGTGCGCGGCCAATTTGCACAAGAATTCTGATGCCTGCTTGGTTGTCGCCTCGTCCAGCTTTGTCACCACCAGCTGGCACAGCTGCTGCGCCGACTGCGAGCCGATGGTCTTGCGCTGGACCTGCAGCATCTTGCAGAAGGGCCGCGTCACCTCGCCCTTGTCGTTCTTCTTCTCGAGCTCGGTGTTGATGCGCACAACGACCTTGCCGTCATCCATGGCCCACTCCTCGATGACGTTGGCGCCCTTCGGCGTGGTGCGCGGGCGGGCCGCCAAGTTCCCGCGCGTCACCTCCTCGAGCGCGCGCACGTCCTCGGAGCCGTCGGCGTTCGGGAAGACCACCTCGGCCAAGTCCGATGGCGCGGCGCCAGCTGGCGCTCGAGGGGCCGACGGGACGACCGCCATGGTAGCCGAGTCCTCGCGCAGCGTGCCGTCGCCACACCGCATGATCTTGACGCGAGAGCAAGCCTTGGGCTGAGGCCCATAATTCGCCGCATTCCAAAATTCCTCCCCCTCCTCCTCCTCCTCCCAGCTCGTCCTCCCCTCCTCCGCCTCTTCCCCCCCCTCGCCCCCCTCCTCTCCTGCCTCCGTTTGTCCTTCTTCTCGCCTATCTTTCTCCTCCTCCTTCACCTCCTCCTCCCTATTCCCGCCTCCTTCTCCTCCCCCCCTCTCTTCTTCGTCCTAATTCCTCCCCCCATCATCCTTCCTCATTCCCATTCCTCTTCTTCCTCGCCCTTCCGCCCACGCAGCCCCCAGAATCCAGCACGGGCACCAGCTCAGGGAATGAGCTGCGGGGGTAAGGGGGCGCGGACGCGGAGAGAAATTTGGAAAGGGGTGAGGCCTGAGAGCTAGCGCAATACGTGTAGCGCCACGCGACAAAC